CAGCCTTGAAGTAACAAATGCATGGACTAGTTTCTCAGCATCACCCCTGGAAAGGAGATTTCTAATGTTTGCAATGTTCCTCAGATGAAAGAGGGAACGTCAGGCATTATCAGATCTAAATTGTGAAGGTGTTACAGGGGCTTTATATCTGGTGTCATCAGATGCTCTTCCAGGACTGAATCCTGGAAACTCACTGACTGGATGCAGTCAGCTGGTTTTCCATTGATAAAAACTTTCAACCAGCCTGTCTGTGCTGCGAATCTGGGCTCTATAAACAGAATTGTAGAGTTTCCCACTGTTAGACTCACCATGATGACTCATTTGTAAAATTACCTGCAAAAAAAAAAAAAACAGTAATTGTTGTTATCAGTGGAAAAAGTCTTAGTCTTTTCATTGCGCCGTGACGTTATCTTCAGCTCTGTTTCAGGGATTCATTAGATGCCTGGTTGGTGGCTTCAGTAATTATTTTAAATATGTTTGAGATATTCATTTATTCCGGCTGATTCTGGCTGTAAAACGTCTCTAGGAGACACAGGAGAGGATCAGACACTATAAGCCGTCGCTGGCCTGCTGTTCACTTATGCGGAAACACATAAACTGCAGATTCTGCTGCTCTGCCTCATTATGTTATCAAGTTTACAAGCCGTAGAGACACAGATCCTCTCGTTAGGTAATTAAAGGTAGATAAAGTTTAACACTTCATCTCCCTTTCCAAGTTTACACTCTGGAAAGGGAGGCGAGTGTAAGGATGGAAAAGATGTCTGAGAAGTGAAAGGAGGTTGGAGGGTAGAGAGCAGAGCAGACGGGAGGCAGAGGAACATTAGAGATCGGAGGTAAAAGGGAGGCGATTCCAGCCGGAGAGGAAACCAGAGGGACATTTAGAAATCTGCATTTCTGACTCCTTTATGTTTCTGTGTGTTAGCTGCAAACGGCCGAAAGGTTTTCAGTCCACCGAAGGAAAGCAAGTAAAGCAGTTTTGAAGGTAAGAAAAAATCAGATATTATCCTGCTAAAATCAAGATTTAAATTTCTCTTAAAATCTATTTTTTCTTTAACAATTTACCAAATCAGTAAAATGATTTTAAAGGACAACCTTTGCTTTCTTATTTTCAAGCCCTTAGTGTCTAATTATCTGATTTTTAGGACAAACACACTGATCCCATTGGTAGATAAACTTATTTACCACAATTAAAGGGAAAATGCACAAATTTTAACATTTAATTAACTTATTTCAGATCAGTTTTTGCAGTGTATGATCAGATATAAATAAAGCATTTCCTTATCAGCAGCCATGAGACGTTGGTCCATGTTTTAGCAGCGGCGTTACTAAAAGATCTTTATTGCTAACTATATTAGCTTTCCACAGCAGAAAACATCTTCATGGTCTCTACCTGCTGCCTGTCTGCAGCCTGGGCTCTGGTGGACCTCCACCATAAAGATCATGCTGTTTCGGAGAGCTCTTCTGCAACCATCCACCTGCAGCCAGTTCCAGCACTTTGTCTCCCTGAAAGGAAACTTCCTGGAAAATGATGTACGTTTCTGGGTGGAGGCACAGAGATACAAGGTAAACCTGATCCAGAGTCTCCTGCTTTATTTTCCACCTTCCAGATATCAAAGGGTTTTTTTTTTAAAGTGTGTATATAGATTTCATCACTTGATGCTTTGTTTATCATCTGAATACAGGACCTCTATCATTCGCACAGCGATCTGGGCATCATCCAGCAGAAGATTTCCACAATAATCAGCTGCTTCATCAACTCCTCCGTGCCCCCCAGTCTCCAGATAGACATCCTTCCTGATCAGGCACAGCGCATCCTGGAGCAGCGGCAGCAGCCCGGCCCTTACATCTTCAGAGAGGCACAGGTACCGTTTCCTCTTGTGTTTGAACACAGTAGAAAAATAAAATATCTTATAATTCATGCTTTCTTTGTGCAAATGAAGATTTCAGTTTTTAGGGGACTGCTGAAGTTTTGGGATAAATTTCAACAGCTGAGGCGACAGGTGAGGAAAAAATGAAATCCAAAACAAGCTTTTAAGAAACAAGTTTAGAATGAAAAGATTACAAATAAGCCTGGATATTTTTGACAAAAGGAACTGGAGAGACATGAGGAGGTTAAGATGGACGATGATGAGCTGGAGGACATGGATGGAAAGAGTTTGCTGAGGCAACAAAGCCAGAACCTGATGACGCGCTCACAGCCGGTAAGAAGCTGCTTCCTGATCTTTAAAGTCGTAGGGAAGTCAATTTTAAATTTCAAATAATTATGGCTTAAACATGTATGTAAATGTAATCTTTATCAGACCATATTGTCCCAAAAGTTAGAAAATATCTATTCAAAAAAAAAAATCCTGTCTTAAAATCTGTGTTTTATTTTTTCATTATCTCATGCAGGCCAGTTAGTTCTACGTCAGCCTGAACACCTAAATTCAGCCAATCATGTATCAACGGTCATCTGTCAATCAAATTTTTCAGTCATACCATCTTGATTCATATGTCGCAGCTAATATACGCAACGGTTGAAATCAGAAATCAGAATCTTTTCCTTTCCCATTGAGTTCCGTCCCAGTGTTCACGGGGATGGATGTCTGTGTCTTCAGCAGGCGTAGAGCTAACAGAACTGGCAGCGTTGCGAGGCAAGGGCTCAAACATGTACGGCTGTAAGCCTTCTACACCAAACCAAGCTTCTGCCGCCCTGGCGTCCTCTTCCACAACATCTTCGTCCCGCTTTCCTCCTCTAAATAAAAAATGTATGCGGGGGAGACTCATCCACGACCTCCGACACTAAACTCTCCTCCTCCTGCATGTTTCCTCTGTCCATAGCGTTCCTTGACAGTGTCGTTTCTAAGTCACCAATTTAGTGCTACTTGGTCCCAATGGAATTTCCCATTGGAAACCTACTAGCACTAAGTTGCTAACTGGTTAGCAAGATGCTTCTGACAAACCAGCCATAACCAAACATGCTTGCGAACCTTCCACCTCAACAATCCTGCCCCCTTGATAAACTACCAATCACATTCACTTTATTCACGCGTGTAAAGTCCACTCAGAATTCGGAAATTCAACGGTTGGGGCCGTTTCCCTACGACTTTGAAGATAAGAAATCCTGCGACTCTTTCTCAGGAAAATAAGTGTAAAGTATGCATTTTAAATGTTTTTTTATTTTGTGTTTTTACCCCAAAGAGAAGGCTGTTAAATGATTTTATTATATGAGCTGGGTTTGTTTCTTTATGTTGGTAAAGCTTAATTTCATCATCATGGCTGCAGAGGTTTGGACATATCTAACAGCACCGATCCAAACTCTGCTAAAGAGTGGAGAGGATCAGGGCATAAAAACAGTGGGGGAAAAGCAATGCCATGTTGGTTTGATGGGAGGATGAAACGAGGTGAAATCACTTTAGGTTTCTCCTGTTAAGAGTTTTTCCTCTCCACTGTCGCTACAAGCATGCGTGGTGTGAGGGATTGCATTTGAGTCAATGAGTCGATGCAATCAACTGGATTTTGTTAGTTAGAAAAACTGGAAATAAGAAAAAAAATGTCTTAAATTAAGTGTATTTATCCTTAATCTGAGTAGGTAAATGAAAGTTTGCCAATGGAATGAGGATTTTTACTCTTAAAATAAGATAATTAGATAACATGCACTTGAAATAAGACAATACAATAGTTTTTTCTTGTTTTAAATGTAAATTGTCTTCTTCCATTGACAAATTATCTCTTTTACCTCCTCAATCCAAGAAAAAATGACTCATCTATATATAGATTTTTTCTCCCTCGGTCACATCTGTCCAAAGAAAATCCCAGATTCTGCTAAACTGAGAGTTTATCTGGAACGTCTTCCCTTCTTCACATACCTGAAAGGTTCAGGGTGGAAACCTTTCAAAGCTCCTAAAGATGCTAGATTTAAATAATCAACCAGAAAACTGGAGCAGAGGTCAAACATGTTAACAGATTGATTGATGGAAGCTATCTTTAAATCAAATCTGATCCCATTACATTTCCCTCCAGCCGCTGTGGTGCATGGCAGGTCTGAGCAGGAAGGAGGCGCTACTGAAGAAACCAATTCAGAGTGAGAGTTCCTCCCCCAGAAACTCTGGTTTGTATTTCACTTTTCTCCAGCATACTCTCCATCTATGGGGGGAAGTTTGTTCCATTATTGTCTTAAAGAACATGTTTTCTAAATAGAAAGGAGAGAAAAAAAAGCAATTTAGAAATGAAACTTTGAAACAGCGAAAGCCAAAAGTGGAATCTGGCTGCCGCTTTTGAAAAATGGCTGACACAGTCTCTGCCTCTAGGTGCTGCTAAATGAATTTTTATTTATTTATTTTTTTTTACAGGTTTTAAATTTTTATTCTAAATTCTGTTTTTTAAGTGAAGTTTTCTGAAGAGCAGTCTTTGTGTTTTCCAGAACACATTCTCTTTGTCTCTGGTGTTCAGGCTTCAGTCTGGAGCAAAGATGCTTTCCTATTGGTCTCTTTGATGTTAGCATCAACATTTTATTGGCCAAGAAGCGCTCATATGGGGCTTTAAAGTGAGGAGAATGTGGCTGTAAAACACACTTTGTAAAGAATGCAATTCGTTAAACTCAATCGGAGAACCTTAAACAAAAACGTTAAAAATAAAGATAAAATATTAAATAATATATGAGAAAACAACTGTTACTGTAAAAAAAAGTTTTCAAATTTTCATTTTTTTCTTGCAACAATTATGGAACATAATTTTACTCCATAATTATCAAACTGTAAAGATGCGTCTTCTCTTTGTTAACTTGTTAGAGTCCAGTGATGCACCTAAAAACCAAATGAGGAATAAATAAACAGACTGAATGAGCTCAGTGATTCGGTATCGCAGCTCTCCATGGAACCACAGTGGCTCCTTCTTTGTTAGACATGACAAACTAAAATGCAGGAACAGATGCTCATCACAGAAACTCTCTTCTGCTCAGACTCCTTTGCTGACTGCAGCATCAAGTCGGCGAGCAAAAAGCAAAACGATCGACTGCCATCAAAAATGTCCTCTAAGCAGTCCGGCAGAGAGTAGGTGAACAAGTGGATGACATCACCTGCAGCTTGAGTCGTTTTTCATTACCTCTGCCTTTGTTTTAAACACAGAAAGCATCAGATTTAGGTGAGACGAACGTTGGCATTAGGATGGAGGAAGAGCCTCACCGCCATCTGAGCTGGAGTGTAAACTGAGAGCAAAGCTGCAGCTGACGGCGTGATAAACAGTTTCCAGTCTGTAACCTCTACTGGTCCTGGCCCAGTCTGAGCCGACTGCTGTGAAAGTGGAGATGTTCGTGTTTTAGCTCCTCTAGAAATAAAGAAACATTTCAGGTTAATGTGATTTGTCTTTATTATTAAAAGTGTTTCCAGGGTTTAGACTTACAGAAAACATTTCATACAATATAAAAAGCAACATGTTTGCATCAGTAGGGTTTGGCATGAACACTGGGAACAAACCGGCTCTATTCAAACATCTAAAACTTTTGGTCAACAGCTGGTATCTCTAGAATCTATCAGCCTGGAAAATATTGCACTTTTTAAAATTGGCATGAGACAATTTTCAGAGTGTAAACAGAAAGCGCCGGTCCTGCAGAGCGAAGCATTTCATCGAGAACGGGACGTAGACCCGATGCATCTGCTGTAGTGTTCAATACTCTGCAGGCTCACATTTATATATCAGAATAAAAGGTTTTTATCTCTAAGGCATGAGTGACCAGTTAGACTTAAATAACAAGATAACATCCAAAAGTTTTATTTAGAAAATAAACAGATGTAGTTTTTTTTTTTAAGGCAAACATTACATTTTAAGCACAGGTCAGACTTTAATGTTCATAATCTCTCCTCCTCAGTGGAATCCGATGCGTAAAGCTTTATTCTTCACTATGGTGAACTTACTAACAAACACTTTGGCGGAAGCAGGATCCACCAGATAGCGGTAGCACTTGGTGACAGACGGCGGCGGTTCTGCGATGGTCACTGGAGGCTGAAGCTGGAGCGAAGCGGCGGAAGGCGAGAGGAACTGGGAGCTTCGAATCACATAATCCAGCAGGCGCTGGTACTGCTGCTCTGACAGACGCTCCCGAACACCATCGCTCTGCAGATGGACGGATGAATGTTAGCTCTGACAGCTGAACGTTAAGGATGTTGTCATGACAACATATTGGTCTCAGATGATCTCGGTTTAAATAATCAGGGAGGAGTCCTAAGGGAAGAGGGAAGCTGCTGCTTTTTAAAACGGCATTAAACTATTTTTAAAACCCATCACTTTTACATTCGCCGCATCGCTGATAATGACCAACTAACCAGCAGTGAATATCTCACCATCAGGGACAAACTCTCACAATCTTCATTTAGTATCAATCAAAATTAGACCAAAGCTGAGGGCTAGTTAGAAGATAAATTAAAACAATCATTTTTAAATTGGACTTTTACTCAGAACAAATAGTGCTTCACACTAAATAAAACGAAATAATTAAGGGTAATGAGCCACCAGGGGCGCTAGACCTGTAACTTCCAGGTTTAGATCATCTCTGCTGCCAAATTAAACAAACCGTGTCTCTGAGTGTCTTGGAATCTGCTATCAGGCCCCTTTAGCCAGGACCCGACACAAATAATGATAGCATACAATACAGCCTTTAAAAAATATATATTAGACCTGTTTTTAGTTTTACATATCTACAATGAGTTTATATCGCAAAGAAACCAATTCAGTTGATGACATCATCACTACTCATGCATTACATTGGGGACAAACCTCACGCGTCAAATTAACAGTCCAAGTGTTAAAGGACAGATCTTTTAAGGTGGATAATCAAAACAGAAATTACGTTTCTTATTCTTCATAAAGGTTGTTGGCTTCTGGTAAAATCCCAGCCGATGGAAACATAACAGCTTCAATTCTGGATAAATAAAGTTCTCATAAAGCTGAATACCGTGAATAATCTGGATCAGTTTAAGACAGCAGCTTTGGTCTCTGTTTCTCCTGGATGTCACAGATCTACAGCAGCTAGAACCCCTTTAAACATTTCAACAGAAGGTTTTGAAATCCTGAACTGTTCCAAACTGGGATCAAACCCAGTTCTCATCTACAGTTCAGATGCTTTTAAACAATCAAACTCTTCCTCACAATCACACTTTAAATACTTTTCTATTTTTCCTGTTATAAGCAGTCAGATTAAAATCTGAAGGATCTTTCTAAGAATTGACATCCATTGACCACCAGGTGGTGCTGTGCAGCTCACCTCAGAGTCGCTGCTAACCGTCTGCTGCTGTAAGGTGAGGGTGAGCTGGCCCTGCTGCTCCGGCTCCTGCTGACACTCCACCTGCGCAACATGAGAGGTTAGATCTTCCCCAGAAGGCGAGCGGAGCTCAGAGCGGAGCCACGTTCCTTTACCTCAGTGATGGGAAAGGCCTGCTGCTGGGTGTCCTCACACAGGCTGACCACAAACAGCACCTCAGAGGTGAGCAGCAGGCAGCCGGCGTGCTCCTGCCCCGACCCACTCACGATAGTCACCTCCAGGGCCATGTGGAGCTCCGGGCGACCCAGAGACTGCAGCATCTTCCTGTTGTCACACCCAGGAACACATCGTGCTGATTAAAACACTCATATTTTCCATTTAGTTAGAAAGTACGCCTCCTAAACACAGATGATGGCGAGCCAAACATCTGATATCGCTCCCGCTTCCTGACGTGTTACGGACGCAGGAAGGGGGACCCACTAGCCTTCATCCGTCCTCTAATTTAGTCGATTTTTCATCTCTGTGTGACATGGCGCTCAGCTCCGCCATGTTTCTCTGACAGTGTTTACTTTGGGTGGCAGGTGCTCACAGATGTTGAAACGAGCGCTGCTCGGGTCTGCTCAGCATTACAGCTCTCAGACGTATGGACTACCTGCTGCTGTAAAAGTGGGTGATGAATGCTCGATGGAAGCCAGTTTGACGGCTCCGCGGTTCAAATAAAATACTAGAGGACATCAGATGTTTATATAAACACACCGCTAAGCCGCTCTGCTGATGACAGCTGGAGAGGAATGTTTCCATGTATCGACAACATGGACTGTTTGATAGCTATGGAAACTAAACCCATCCCTTCAGAAAACTTAAAAAAAGCTTTTTTTCTGTTTTTTTTCTGTGTAAAAATATCCCTCATAAATCTTAAGTGTTTCTGCTACTGCTTGGAAAATCAGCTTTCAGAAGAAGTCAGCGAACAGATAACTGGATCGGTATTAAACCCCCATAATCCAGCAACTTTTAAGCAACTCCAGCTCATTACCATAATGATAAAGACGACCACCTATGAACGGTTGAACAGCTCATGGCTCTGGCTGAGTGCTTATAAAAACCTTTTAACACGGCTGGATGAGAACAGGGGGTAAGAGTGGCTACCATGTGTGGGATTCAAAAAATATCAAGTAAACCAAACAGTGGAAATGACGATGGGTGAGGGAGGAAAATACATCATTTCCTGGAGAGAAACCAAGAACAGCTCAGAGTCATGCCCCACTTAGAATAAAGAGCAGAGCGACAGTAAAGATGTGGATGTTTAAAAACAGCGACTGCTTCAGGGTCATACCAGACATATTTCAGGTGGCTGTTGGAGGCCTGAGCAGACCTCTCCTCTGCAGGCAGGTAGAGCTGTTTGGGAAGCTGCCACAGACCTGCTCCATGGAGAATCCCTGAACACAGCAAGGAGGGTTAGCATCAGTGCACAAGTTTCACATTGGTACATTTTTACACACATTTAAAAAGCTCTGGTTACGGTGGTTTAACTTCAGCATGAATTCAGTTTATTTAAAATGTTAAAGAGCAATCTGTGTTTTTGTGGAGTCCCTCAGGGTTCTATCCTTGCTCCTATACGGTTCATACTTTATATTCTTCCTCTTTGTCAACTTTTTGCGAAGCATAGCGTCTTCTATCATCTTTATGCCCATAAGGAAGCCTCGCAATAGCTCCCTGACACTCTTACTTTGTTTGGCTTAAAACCTCTTAAGTTTCAAAGGAAGCGAAACATTTTAAACTCCAAATAGAAATCGATGCAGTCCTTAAAGCCTTTCATCATCTCAGCCTCTAATCCAAACCTAAACAGTTTTTTTTTTATCTTTTAAGAATCTTGAGCAGAACATCCAGGCTTTCATTTCGATTACTGCAATAATTTTTTTATGGGAATAAACCGAAACACACTTTACCACCTGCAGTTGGTCCAGCACTCTGCGGCATGGCTCTTAACGGGATTCGAAAATCCAAAGCACATTTTAACTATTCTGCATCTGGATTTCAAGGTCGTGTTGTTTTTAAAGCTTTAAAGGGGTGATAGAATGATTCTATAGGGTATTTGGTGCTGGTCCTTAAGGTCTCTGAATAGGGTGTGTAACATTGGTTGGGCTGAAAATGGCATATTTGCTGTTCTATGAGCCCTAATGCAGCCTGGTTAAAAACCCTAGAATGAAACAACAGGTTTTCCTCCTTTTATGGTATGATCATGAATATTTAGATGAGCTGTGCTCTGATTGGTTGGTTTACAACGAGCGAAGCTGCTGAGCAAAGACGCATCATAGCAACAAGCACTCACTCACTGAAACATCCAAATAGTTGATATGGTAGGGTGACCAGACGTCCTCTTTTTCCCAGACATGTCCTACTTTTCATAACTAAAAAAATGTCCGGGGGGAATATCACAATCTTCCGGGATTTTGGTCGACTACAGTGCAGCACGTAGTTGAAACACACCGGGCATTCAAACCCTTGTTTGATGCTTGTTGGTGAACAACCCTCAGGTGCACTACTGCCACCAACTGGTGAGGAATATAACAGGATGTCGATTTTGTACTTGAAGTTTTGCAAAGTTGTAACTTTAAATCTTAAATTGACCCTGGTTTTTATTGCTGGTTATCTCACCCCGTATTTGCTTCCCAGTATTAGAGTACATGTGATTCATTGTAATGCGTTTGCCTTGATTTGAGCAGCACAGTGTTATTTAAAAGTGCTCCAGATGCAAAGTGGATTGGACAGCCCATATGCCCACTCAGAGTCATGCGGTCAGTTCTCTTTCAGCTTGCTTTATGTCAGCACTGCAGCAACAAGCCGGTGAGGTCACCCAATAGTCCGAGCTGATCCTTAAAGAAAACAGCGGACTCCATTACTGATGTCACAGCGGCGATACCCTGGCTGTTTGCAATGTTTTAGTGGGACTAGAATAACAACTTAGTAGATGATTCTTTGTGTCAGCTTCTGCACCTTTTAGCAGCAGCTCTGTGTGAGTGTGTGTATTGAAGTTTGTTTTCATGCGTTGTAATCTGTTGAGCTCAGAGGGTCAGGCAGATTAGAGCCAGGCTCCGGGGAGGAATCGCTCTTATATGGAGCTGTTCACCTCATTGGCGGTTTATGTGCTGAAGCCAGGACTTGTTAGCGCCAACACACACCAGCCACTGACCCTCACTCAAACCCTGCTCTCTAATAAAACACTAAGTAACTCCAGAGAGCGAAGCCGCCTGGACCAACCAGTGTTTGTGCATGTATGATTAGGCACATAAGCGTGTGTGTCGGGGGTCTTTCGGCAGCTCTCTCCAGGGTCCAGCTTTAATAAACACTTGCCTCCTGTGTGAGGCTGAGATGTGAGCGAAGGAGGGACTATCGGCTCGCTGACGGATTCGTGATTTTCCTGACATGCTAATTCGGACGTGTTTATTATTGCCTCGGGCTCCTCAGAACATTTTACATAATTCGCATATCTGGAGCTTGGCTAAATAAATTGTTCCAGGGCCAAACTTCACTTTGCAGCCGAATGTGTGGTCCAAAAAAACAGCAGTTTTTTCATTTATATAACAGGAGGGAAATTCAGCCGTAAGTTATTACTGTATACTGTATAACTATAAGTGAAAATAACACAGAAAGACTTCAATTAAGAGCAGAAAGTGACTCAGTCTGAACGTGGATCTAGCTATTCTAACTCTATGAATCCTGTTTCTACACTTCTAAGTCTAATTTTTCTTTTTAGGGCTTTCAGCTCAAAGTTGCACAAATTGCCAAGGCGGCGCATTTCACTCTAGTTAGCTTCATATTCCTCTTCTACTTGTTTGGCTTCCGGATAGACGAGTCAGAGTAGCGCCATCTCACTGCAGAGCTGAGTCCCACGTGCTTTTTAGATGTACAGTGTGAGCAGGTAGATCGCATCAAAGCGTCAGGCCCCACATTGTGAGCTGTGAACTCACACTGTACGACAACCCTGCAGTTTCGTGGTACAGTGTGAGCTGTAGCTGCATGCAACGATTGAAAAAAATAGCACAGTATACACTTAAAGGTGTTTTTCCTCTCCACTGTCGCTGTATGCATTTTCACGATGAATTTTGGCCTATGTGTACGATTTTATTTATTTGATGATTTATTTTAAGTATTGAACTTATCTGCCTCACCGTATCCAGTCTGGGACACGAGTTCAGCGGCTCCTCCAATGGGCTTAGTGAACACGCCCACAATCCCCTTCCCCACTCCAGAGATGACCCCCTTCGCTTTGCTCCCAGCTGAGCTTTGCACCTCCCAGCTCCTCTGGAAGTTTTGCATGGGCTGGTCCACGATGCCCGCTACGGCTCCTGCAAGAACAAGAAAAAAACTCTTTGATCTTTTATGAACTGAAACCTTTTCAAATTGCGTTTGACAGATTGCTTCGTCTTCAATTAAAAAAAAAATACAAACGCTGAAGTAAAGAGAATGTTATCTATAAAACGCAGTTTCAAAAGAATGCAATTTGTTAAACTCAACTCTGAAAAAGTGTATTTGGAAAAAAATTACTTTAAAAACATTTGATCACAAAAATAATTTGAAAAAGAAATAATCTGAGAAAACAGCAAAGTTATGCTTAAAAAAGATTTTTGATCATGTTTCATTTCTGGATTACATATTTTTCAAATTTCCATAAGGCGGGTTCTTTTCTGACAACAATAATGGAAGAAAATTCACTCCATATGGTTTCATGTCTGAGGAGTCATCCTGATTGGACCTCGGGGGCTTTAACAGATAGAAGCTTTATTTGACGACGATGGCAGCACAGCGTGTTAATTTGTGGCTCTGATTTGGGTTTCAGTGTTTATCCGCTCCCACTGCACTCTGTAACACATGTGCTGCTGTGTTTTATTGGACAGCGGGGAGAAAATGTTCTTCTCTGGTTTGGGTGACCTAATGCTGCAGCAGGGGGGCAATGGAAAATAACTAGCTGAACCAAAAAAATGCCTTTCTCAGTATTGATGCTGAGCGGCCACAAACGTCAAGACAGAAAAACACGCTGGTTGAAAGAAAAGCATGGGAACCTGTCCCTGTGTCCGCATACCTAACAAGCTTATCCCGAGTCGGGACAGACCCTGTCTCAGTCCGTCCCCCAGGCTCTCCGGTAGCTGCCGTCTCCACTCCTCCTGCCTGGTGTAGTGCTCTTCGTCCAGGGACAGGCGGTCCATGTTCCTCGCCAGGCTAGTGGCTAAGTTAGTGATGGATGTCAGGGTGCCTGGAGGGAACATTTACTTTCAACATTTAGTGTTTGCAGGAATTTAAGAAATGAAAGAGAGTTAGAGGACTTATGGTTTTAGTTCATAGCAAATCCGATTATCTACCAAAAAACTAAAGCTAAATTACAAAAATATGCACAGAGTCCAAATGAATAAATGTGTCCTGACCCAAATACAGAAGCTAAAGTTATGTGGATCTCTTTGAAATTTAAAAAGAAACTAAATCAAAAAAAAAAGGAGAAAAAGAACTGAGAAGATATTTTTTATCACCTTTTGAGATGTGTTTAACAAAAGACGTGGTCCCTCTGGACACCCCACTGACAAAGGCCCCAGGCCCTCGCGTCAGGCCCTCGTATGGAAGGCGGAAGAAGTCGGATACGCCGTTCCCAATGCTGCGCACCAGGCTGGCGGGACTTCCAAGGATCTCTAGAGATCCCACGACCCAACCTGAGACGGAGAGCAGAGCAGAAAGCAATCAGTTCCGCCTGAGTCTATTAAACAACCTGAGAGGGTTTAGTTTAACCCTAAAATCAGAGAAAATCAGCTGGAAACAGAGCGCCTGTTCAAATTCCCATCCTGGTCATGGCAACAACAAAAAAAAAGCTTAAATCAGAGGCAACCAGACGTTTGCTCAGTTTCCTGAAGCACTTTGGCAACTCTCTTGACTCGCACCAGAACAATCTGTAGTTGGAACGCTAATGTTTTGAAGAGACATGGAGGCCCATCCTTCTAAGTCTTTTGTAGTTATGGGTTTTGCATTTGGCTAAGAATGACTGAGCTCCAGGATCCCCCCATCGTTCAGTTATTGGTTTCCTCTTTTAACCAAAATGGCTTCTTTCAAACCATCAGTCCTCTCTGTCAAAAATCTGAACATTTTGGTTGTCAAAGAGGTCATTTGATGAGAAGCAAGTGTAGAGCTGAAATGTACTCTCCTATGCTGTGCGATGCATTTGTGTAGTTGTTGTTGCTTTTCTCTGATACAGGAGTAGGATAATTCCTCCTGGATATGCTATATTTATAGAAAATCCTTGCAGATTTTTTAAGCTAAACTGTAAGCATAAACAACACTTTCTAGTGACTCTTCAAAAAGTGAGCCACAATCCTCCTGTTGGTGGATCATTTTACTTACCAGCTCAAATAAAGCCCATTTCAAGAAATATAACAGTGCCTGTTCAGCACCTTCAGTGTGGAGGAAATTGCAGAGGCTAAAGGTTAGTTACTTTCTGTAACAGTAGGGTCTTAATGAACAAAACCAAAATAAATCAAAGAGATGCCTGGAGTTCATGTAAGCTGAAAAAGAGCAAGAGCAGAGTGCTGCTATAGGCTTACACTGCTGGAGGACATAGGGACCCCTTTACATCATTCTGCTTCATTCTATCTCTATTCTCTAATTCTGCAGAATCTATTAGTTCAATCTCTAACGTTCTGCTCTCTCTGCTTTCTCTCATCATAGTAGCTTCATCTGGTCTGTTCCTGTTTGGCTGTGACTCCATCCTGGAGAGAAATATCAGCTGTGCTGCTGCCATCAACACCTTTGTTTGGCCTGTTTTTTCAGTGTAGTCCTGTTTCTCTTACTGTGATTAACTGTATGTGCACTCTGTCATCCGGTTAAAAGGGAGTTTTCTTCCCCACTGTCGCTACAAACATGCTTAGTATGAGTGACTGCTGTGGGTTGATGCAATCAACTGGTTTTCCTTAGATAGAAGACTTTGAACCTATCTTGGTTGAATTGTCTCTCTAATGTGCTTTGAGATGACAAGATGTGTTGTGATTTGGCGCTATATAAATAAACTGCATTGAATTGAATATATTACAAGCCAAAGTAAAACATAAATAAAGCAGTTTCTTGGGTTTGTTTTTTTTTTTTTTTTTACATCTTTTTGTTCTACAAAGATAGAAAACTGGAACAGCAGGACCATGAGGAACAAAAACCTGGAGATTAAAAATCCTCCACGTTATTCTTGGTGCATATTTTCCTCATCCTCGTGGATTTTTTTCATTCCCAGTCATCCCCAAATGGGTTTCTTAAGCCAAAACATTTCCTCACAGTCAGTAAACCTGGAAAACCTGGACTCTGGACAAATATCTAAATTTTAAATAACAGGAGGCTCAATTATGCAATAAAGGATCATTTTCAAATCAAATTCAGCTGTAGCGTTTCGAACTTCTGACACAAGTTTTGAATCCAGCAGAAAAGAAATCCATCTCCAACATTTCCTGTTGGATGAGGATACCATGTGCGTGCCTTTTAAAAAAAAACCCTCCTTTACCATCCTCCTCTTGCCAAAAACAATTTGAAGTAATCATTCTAAATGCTTATCTCAGGAATACAAAGAACTAGAAAACCTTTCACGCATAAAGCTACACCTGCATGTAATCATGCGAGGGCCGCCCTGAGATTTACGGCCTCCTACTATCTCACCTCCCTCATTCATCCAGAAGAGTCCCGCTCAGATGGCACGGCTCGCTGATATTTATGCTCTGAGAACTGCATCGCAAAAATCAAGCAGCCATTTCTCAAGACGCCAGGCCCCTGCTCTGCCCTGCTCCTCTGTCAATTTGTGCTGGAGTGATGGATTCTAATGGGAGGAAACCAAATCCGGTGGGAACCAGTGGTCCTGCCTGCTTTATAGGGGCTCAAGAGTTGTGGTTTTGCTAAAGTGAAAAGTCAAACAGAAAACACTGTTTAGAGGGCTGATCGTTGCTAATAAACACGCACATGGACACTTTTGGTGCGTCAGAAGATTCCAGCGTTCTGGAAGGCTTTTATGTTCTCGCAGGCTGGAGCGTGTGATGTGAGATCACTGTGTTCTCCTCTTAATCAGCATCAGAGTGCAATGCCATCACAGCCTGCCTGTCTTTGATGACTCCAGGAGAAGACGCCAGTGAGGTGATGTGCTGAAATACGAGCAGAAATAAGGGCTCTAATGACAGACAGCAGGGAAGAAGGCGTGCTGCTGCAGCAGTCATTTCTGACGGGGATAAATCACACCATGTGTGGGAGGCTCTGACTGGACAGCAGTACGGGTCCCAAGATGTCTACTTACACTTGATCTTCAAACGAATGACCAACCATGACTCAGCAGCTGACAGTAAATCAGGACTGAGGAACAAAGCAAAGTCAATCTGATACTGTGACAAACCCAGAGAGACCCACCGGCTCTGAAGAGCGCTCCAGCGGCGTAGTGCATGGCGAGCGCGTGAACCAGCTGTCTGCCGGTGGTGAAGAGCGGCCCTCGTTCAAACACAGAGAAAGACAAGGGCGTGTGGTCGGAGGCGATGTACAGCTTCAGGGAGGCGTGGATGCTGACCAGCAGCTGGACCGGCTGGATAGTGAGTCTCTGCAGCCGCACCGGGTGGACCAGCGCCTGGACGGACTGAACCACCTGGAGACAGAAGATATGACGAGCATCACAGTTTAGTCCCGCCCCTCTGGAGAACATGGCTGCTCTCCTTAAGGTTGACATAAACCTGAGGTGTTATGAGACAAAGAGAGGCAGCAGCAGAGGAGGCTGGATGAGCAGCCCACCTGTTCAGGGAGAATCAGAGGCTCTCTCTCCTTTCTCCACTCCTCTGGCCGGCTGGGGATGTACGTGTCAAACAGGGTCTTAATGTAGTAAACAAAGGTGTCCTCGATGTAGACTCTGGCAGGCTGGAGCTGGAAATTCACCTGAAGTGAAAACAAAGATATCACAGCTTAATCATTTACAAATAAAACAAAGAAATATTAACAGAACTATTTCTCACAGTGAGAAAGACTAATTTAATGCAAATATATTGTTTTATACAATGTTTCCTGTAATAAATAGAAATAGAATTTGGACTCTGATTGCAACACAAACTTCCATCTATTCATTGCATCTTGTCTGTGTCTCTGGCCGTGAAGCAGAAGAAGGTTTAAATGGATGCAGCACTTTCAGACAGAGACGGAGCAGATGACCTGTTTCTCTGGATCCCAGGAGAAACTTGGCTGTTTTGCAGGTTTGTTAAACAACATCAGGAAATTAGCAGCTTCGTAAAGAGCGAGGAGCTCAGCAGACAGAGCTGAGAGAAAGTTTAATCTGTCTATACAGGCTCATCAGCAGATGCCTATTCCTCCAACAGCAATCAGATCAGAGATTTTACAGAGCGGTGGGGGAGCTGGAGTACCCAGAGTGAATTCACACACGTGCAGGGAGAGCATCAGGTGCATCAGATGACCTTCTAACTGCCAGGCAACAACGTTAATAATTCCAAAGCTGTGGACTCTGCTGTTCAATCCATCACCCGAAAAATGTAAACATTAGAGCCCAACTGGGAATCTGCCAAAAGACCTAAAATGACCTAAACTACTAAATGCTAAAATGAAGACTGCTAGAGCATTTTTCATGGGGCCTGTGGTGTCTCTGTAGTTAGAGGATCAGATGAGAGCCAACGGGCCTTTAACAGGTCTAACCACGAGTCTCGCCTTTTTTTGAAAGGGGGGCAAAAAATAGATGAACTATTGAGAGAAAACCACAACAAATGATAGTTTGCAACAACCAAAGTCTGGGGAACATCAAACACCTCAAAGAAGGTAGTTGGTAGAAACATAGTGGTGGCAGCAGAATGCTAAGGGAGTGCCTCTCTTCAGAGCTGATGGACTAAAATAATGTTCAGTCCTAAAAGAAACAAACCCCCTCCCTCAGTCTATTCCTTCCTTCCTTCCTTCCTTACTCAGTCTATTCCTTCCTTCCTTCCTTCCTT